AAAAAAAAAAAAAAAAAAAAAAGAAAGAAAAAGGAGCAGATAATCCAAAAGTTTATTCGTTCCGTCTGGAAATTTGTGAAAGTCTTGCACGATTTCCATCTAGTCGGTGCCCTTTTCGCCGGGAACGAAGATCTCATAGCATGTGATAGGATTACCCTTTACTCAACCAAATTCGCAGCCTTCATCAAAAGCCCCCTCGATATCGGAAGAAGGAGAAGGGGCTGTACGCCACCCCCTTTGGGCGGGCATTATCTAAGTGCACTCTCTTTGAAGATCCTGCTACACTCGCCCATCCTCGAACTTTAATGCCGCTCGCGGTGGTCTATGATTACCAATTTTCCCTGACAGACGTTTCCTACTCGAGTTTCGGCCCGTCGGCTAATGGCGGACTGCTGCGATCGCCGCGCTCTCTATCTCTCTTTCTCTCTCTCTCTCCAAGAGCGAGACTTAATCCGCGCCCGATCGTTCATTCTCCTAATCGTGGAATCACGAATTGATTCACGATGAATTTTCTTCCGACTTTTCCCTTTTTTCGTATTATTCTCGTCGCTCGAGTTGCTCGATAATTAAAGTCTAGAGTAATTTTGCGAGTAACCGAGTGTGAAAGATGAGGAAATAAGATTCGTGGAATAGCTTCTTGTGATATTTGATGAATGGATTTTTGTTGTAATAGTTTAAGTTCGTTAGAGGAATTTTGAAAAATTTATGGAATTATTTATCGAGTCTGCATTAATTTTTGATGTTGTTGTCATTGTTGTGTGGAATTGGCATTGGTGATGTTTGGCAATAATCAAACTGCATTTGAATTGTTGTGAAAATTTAAATGTAGAAAAATTTATATAGAATGCTGATTTATTGAGTCTCCATGAATTTTTATGATTCGTCGCCTCTTGTGTTATTTCTGTTACTTGAGCAATAATTAAAGCTTCGTTTGAATGGCAAGTCTTTATTATGAAAGTTTAAGTGTAGAAAAAATTTTTCTACATTTAAACTTTCACAACAATTCAAATGGAGTTTAATTAATTGCCAAACATCACCAATGCCAATTCCATAAACAATGTTTTAGTGTAGATATGATGTGAGAAGACATGTTAGAAAAGAAAAGAATAGTTCCAATCGACTGATTAAATCTTGATGAATTCAGATGATGCATAGAACTATCTTTTGTGATATTTGATTCTTGATTCTATCGCTTAAACATTCTTCATCGCTAGATTATGGAAATTTATGCACAGTAAGAAGATATGCAAAGTACATATAATGATATTTTTGGGATAAAATAGATTTTTAATTCCATTTCTGTAATCGTGTTCGTAGAAAAATTTAAATTTCCATGAATCTATTTATCATTACAAAAAGAAAAAGAAAGAGAAAGTTGTATCTTAACATATATTCCAACAATTGGAATTGATATAACAACCGTTTAATATCCTCATCTCGGTTTCCACACCGATAAACTAACTAAACGACACCCTTATCAAGAAACAAAGAAATGATACTTATCAACGGCTTTTACATTGATGTATAAAAAAATTACCATGTGATTAATCATGATAATCACAATATATACATAGAAGACAAATTTAACGGATCTACATATCGTAGAATCTCGCAAGAAACTCTTGAATCTTTCTCTACTTTTCCTCATGGTTTTTCCGTTTCGTCTCCTATCTTCATTCCAACATTTAGCCCATGTATTACGAAAAACGTCGTCAAAAATACGATGATTCCATTCGAGAATATTTGATCAGCTCTCGAGATGCCGATTGATTTACTGCTACCCCGTGGATGATCAGCTGACGCGTCACATGGAAATAATAAATAGGCGTAAATCAGGCCTCGAATTACAGCTCGATGTGTCGCACAGATAAGCTGATTGGCCCGTTTTTATTAGTCGAACTTACGTCGACTATTTTTTTCATCATAAAATTTTTCATCATGCGAAATATTTTCAAGAAAAGAATTTTAGAAAAGTTCTCTTTTTCTTAAATAAATGGATAATTATTTTCGAAAAAAGAAAAAAAGTTTCATTTTATGAAATTACAAATCATAATAATATTTTATAAAATCGATTAATCAATAATCTAAAACAAACTATATCTATATTCTATTATTAAATTATATATCCTATCAGCTTATCGAAATTTTCTTCTCCATTATTTTAATAAATAAAAAAAATTCGTTCTCCATCCTCCATTTCTTCATCGTTTCTTCCTTTCCCGCAGCAAAAAATAAAAAAAAAAAAAAAACAAAATTTTTTCGGTTACCTGATAATTTTCCTCCTCTCCTTCGACGGTATTTACATATTTATCAACCGATTTCTGAAATCTGAAAGCCCTGTCAACCATGCTCCTCGTCGTCGGCTTACTACCTGAGTGATTAAGTGCCGGGCTGTAAAATTCGTTGCGGATGAGAATTCTAGCTAAAAGGTGACAGCCTGTGTGTGGATAATAATAATTGTTTCTGCGCCGTATCTGGCGCTACCAAGGTGTCATGGATACGGGCACGGATTACCGCGTTATTAAAGTGGCGTCGAGCACCTTGATCCTCGCGGGCGGAGATATTTGTTCTTACATAAATCATTGTCCAGATAACGAACGCGTTTGACAAACCTCGTACTACTTCCTACGAACCTAAAACTTTTCCATAATCTGCTCTCCTTAATTCCATAGCGATGCGTGGAATTATATCTCGTCAACGATGATATCTTGATACCGTATCGTATTATTACTCGATACAGGGACACACGAGTATCGTTAAGGGTGATGATTATTTGTACGCAAGTTTATCGTGCAAAAATATCGAATAGAAAATCTGGAATATTGAAAATGATGAATAAAAATTTCTTCGAGAAAATATAAAATAGGAACAATGAGTTTGAGGTTATCTCTGTATTCGTCACTTACGTTTCACTTATATTTTTATATTCTCGTGATAAATCCATTACTAGAATTTAACTCTTTTAAAAAGAGTCTTCTACGTAACGTATCTAAAAAGAGGATAAACAGAAGAAATAATCCTAAGCTAAATGATATTTAATATAGATAAGAGCTCGGTTATAATACAGTACAATATGATACAGAAAACAAACCATTAGACAAAGTGCATCTAAAAGCGAAGTATCTTGAAAATACTTCCAAACTATCAAACTCTCTAAAGATCAAAAATCCAAAGTTCTTTCTTCTCCAAAATTCAATTCATCGTTTTGATTCGCAGATGACACTATTATCTCTATGTAGAGGCGGGAACGATTTATCGGAAGAAACTAAACGAAACTTCGAGTCATGGTTGCAACAGCAACAATTGGGTCTAGGTTTGAGCCCAATGGTGCCAACCTCGAATCATCACCACACGCAGAGCCCTCAGCCGGATGGTGGCGGTACCATAGGATCTGCAGGTGGCACGATTGGCCCTCCTCATCCTGCTCTTCTTCAGTACTCGCATAAAACAAGGATGAGAACGAGTTTCGATCCTGAACTGGAGCTACCGCGTCTTCAGCGATGGTTCGGTGAGAATCAACACCCGTCGCGTCAACAGATTCAACACTACGTCTCGGAATTGAATGCCTTAGAATCTCGGCGAGGCAGGAAGCCGTTGGACGTAAATAACGTAGTCTACTGGTTCAAGAATGCAAGAGCCGCCCAGAAAAGGGCTGAGAACAGAGGTGTTAATGGTTACAGTCCTCCTGGGCTCAGCCCGAGAGGCGCCAGTATTGTCAGCGAAGATTGCACCGACGAGGAAGAGGATTCGAGGAATCAGGTGTGTGTTCGATTTATTAATGTTACGAATATTGTTTCATAGAATCTAGTTATCGAATATCCTTGTCGGTAACATTTATAGCGCGGCAATTTAAAATATGAACAATTATGATTATTATAAAGCAAAAATAAATTGTTATAATTAATTGTATTTCAACGAATGAGAACAATAGAACACGACTTGTCATTAATGTTAAAAATTTAAATATTGATAATTTTAGTATCGACAAAGATCAATTGTAAATATTAATCGTAACGTTATTTTTCAATGGACAAATTATATTGAATTAATTCGAAAAATCGACACGATCAAACATTATCGAAAATAACTCTCACTAATCAAATTATCTTTCACGCAATCGCATTGTATATATCGCATCGTGCATAATTTTTTAGTCGACGTCACCATCTCCCTGTCCACCTGGAAGCCCACCGGTCGGTCCATTGTCGCTCACGACCAGACCAGAGGATCAACAACCTCCACCTACGACACCATCCTCGGTAAAACAAGAGGATGCAAGGGTATCTTCTGGTTCTGAGGACGACGAGACGAGGCCGACCGGTCCTCTGCCGCCTGGATTTTCTCTGGTGCCCAGTTCTATGTTCGGCCATGGGATAATGTACATGTCACCTTATCTACCGCCTCGTGGACCAGCTGGTTGTTCGACCAGCATGTTGGACGAAAGGAGGAAAAGGAACCGGACGTTCATCGATCCCGTGACGGAAGTGCCCAGACTCGAAGCTTGGTTCACTCACAATACTCATCCCAGTCACGCGGTAAGTTGTAACGTGCGACGTTATTTTAATTATCGACACGTTAATTTGTCACGTGTTTAATATTGATCCAGTAACCTCGAAAGCAACGGACTAGCAATTAATTTCGATCTTTAAATTTTTGAAACCATCCACTCGTGTAAATATAATCCATAAATGTATTATGATTATAATTCAATTTGTGTTATATAAATAATAATTATATTCATACAAGTATCTTAATAAAAAATTTATCGTTAATTCTGGATAAAGATATTTGGTTCTTTTAATAATTGATGCAATGAAATAAACGTAAAGTTTTTTTGATAGATTTACCAATTTTGATTACGATCAAAATGTAATTTATTTGTATAACAATTTTTAGCATAAATCGTAACAATCTCGCCAAAATTAGGTTAGGTTAAATTCATAACCGAACAAAAGAGATAATTAGTAGAAATTCAAATAATTTTAATATAAATAAATGATTATATACTTTCAAGTTTTCCAATAGAAATTTATCGTTAATTATGGATAAAGATATTTGATTTTTTTAATTGCAATGAAATAAATGTAAAGTTTTTTTAATAGATTTACCAGTTTTGGTGTTACGATCGAAATGTAATTTATTTGTATAACAATTTTTAGCATAAATCGTAACAATCTCGCCAAAATTAGGTTAGGTTAGGTTCATAACCGAACAAAAGAGATAATTAGTAGAAATTCAAATAATTTTAATATAAATAAATGATTATATACTTTCAAGTTTTCCAATAGAAATTTATTGTTAATTCTGGATAAAGATATTTGATTTTTTTAATTGCAATGAAATAAACGTAAAGTTTTTTGGTAGATTTACCAATTTTGGTGTTATGATCGAAATGTAATTTATTTGTATAACAATTTTTAGCATAAATCGTAACAAAATTAGATTAGGTTAGGTTTATAACCGAACAAAAGAGATAATTAGTAGAAATTCAAATAATTTTAATATAAATAAATGATTATATACTTTCAAATTTTCCAATAGAAATTTATCGTTAATTCTGGATAAAGATATTTGATTTTTTTAATTGCAATGAAATAAATGTAAAGTTTTTTTGATAGATTTACCAGTTTTGATGTTACGATCGAAATGTAATTTATTCGTATAACAATTTTTAGCACAATCTCGCCAAAATTAGGTTAGGTTAGGTTCATAACCGAACAAAAAAGATAATTAGCAGAAATTCAAATAATTTTATTATTTTATTTTCCTTTATTTATGGATATTATTTTACAATACTCGATTCTGATTCACAGTTGATTCTGAAATACACGGAGGAGTTGAACAGGATGCCGTATCGGCAGAAGTTTCCTCGACTGGAGCCGAAGAACGTGCAATTTTGGTTCAAGAATCGGCGGGCCAAGTGCAAACGTTTGAAAATGGCGTTGTTCGAGGGTGAATCGCCCCAACCGCATCCGTATCACGCGGACTAGCTCTCGTCTCTTCGTATAACGTAAAAAGTAGGAGCAACCGAGATGTCGCGAGATGGAATGGTCATTTATAATGCCAGGGGGATAAGGAGGGAGGAATAAGAAGAAAAAATAAATAAATAAATAAATAAATAAATAAACAAAAACCATCGTTAATCAAAACCTGTTATTTCTTTAATATCGTTGACTCGCGACCATATTCGCCACGGTCGCACTTTTGTTGTAATTAATTCGCGTAATAATTAATATAATATGGACCTTAATAAGTGTACATATGAGAATATTGTCGAATAAAAAGTATACGTCACGATTCACAGCATGGTCATTATCCTTCTTGAATATATCATCACTTGTCTGTACACGTTCCTTTTTTTGTAAACATAACATTTTTCTCCCTTTCTCCATTTGTTACCATTTTACCAAGGAACAATAAAGAAAGTTTGCAAGTAAATAATGCATAAAGGTGTTATTATTCCCATTAATACCAAATATTTATTTTTTTGTTACATTTTCATATAAAGTTTATTTTCTGCAAATACATCAACATTATTCTTCCTCAAAAATTTTTAATTAAAGATTACCTTCTTTACATAATTTCAAGAAAATATATACCACTTCTAATTATTCCAGCAAGGATTTGCACATTAATTAAATCATCATCGTAAAATGCAATTCTCCTTTCAAAACAAAAAAAGAGCAAAATCCGTCGAATGGAATCTCACCCCCATTAAGAATATCATTCTCGAATCAACCCCAACAATCAAAACCAACCCTCTTTATCCAAATCATTGTTCCAAAGTTGATTAATTTCAGCAGAAAAATAAAAAATACATTCAAGAAAATTCAAATATATAATAAATTTTGACGACAAGTGAAACGATACGATTTTCACGAACGGGAACGAACGAACGAACGAGGAGGAAGGTAGCCATCTATGAGGGCACGTCGACAGTGAGATCACGTCGAGGCCGAAGTCAGGACGGATTTAATGAGGATAGGCGGATTTGTCCAATTAAAATGTCTTGTAAAGATCCACCTCTAGGTCGATCCACCTCGTTCATTCGCAAAACATCGAAATTCGACATCACCGCAACAACCTCTTCTTATCCGCCACCGCTCTACACATATACACGTACACTCGACCTGTTATCCCTTTCGTTATCGAGATTCGTCTTTCGAGAATCTTGTTGAGAGACGTTGTTAAAGGAATGGAATTCCTCTCTGATCCCTCTCTGAAAAATTGAGCTTTTCTTTTTCTCTTATATAATGGATATATATATATATATATATTTTTCTTGATGAATAAAAATAAGAAAGAATTTTTGTCGTAAAAAAACGAATTCGAAAATTTGAAAATTTAAAAATTAGTCGAATGAAAAATTCGGGGAAAAAAATAATAAAGCTAATAATGGAGGATGTTTGATTCGAGAGAAACGAAACTTGCGAAGATTCGTGAGAGGACGAAAATAATCGGACTCGTTCAAACGGATGAGAGATTGGGGGGAGGAGGGAAGAGGAGGAGGAGGAGGAGAGAGAGAGGGGAGGGGGACGTAAGAAGGCGGGAGGGAAGGGAAGGCCTTATGAAAATCTTAAAAGTCAGCAGCCCCGAGGATCATCCCTCTATCTGATCTCAATTTGTCAGCCGGCACACGGGAATAATTTAAGCCACACCCTCGATAGTAAATCGTTATAGGGAACGTCAGCTCCTCGTTGGAGGCCCCAAACTCTCTTTCTTAATCTTTGATTGAGATACCTGGGATGGGATTAAAACATCAAGTATCAAATTGTAAATTTGTAAAATTTTAAAAATATCATTTCACGAGGTTTTTGTCGTGTCGTAATCGTGTTGTCTTGGGATGATTTCATAAATAAATATTATTATTGTATTTTATTGATTATTCGAGCGAGAAAAATTCAAAGAATTCGTCGTCATATTGGATTCAATTTATTTTTAGTAAAAAGTTACACAAATCTTATCCAATGTATCGCAAAATTACAGAGATATATTAGATTGGAGGGAAATTCACTTTTCTAATAGAAAAATTTCAAAATCTTTTAATCATGTAATCTTTTAATCATTCTCCCCACAAGTTCTCTTTTATTCACATATAATAATACACAAAAAATCATTATCATGAACAATTTCACAAATTTGTATTTTCTTTTATAAGAAAAATGTTATAAGAAATCACATGATATATAATAATAAATATCTCCAACAAATTTATTAGTATCCTTCATAATTATTATCGAAACAAATTTTTCTTAATATACCACAAATATATAAAACACAGAAATTCATGTTTCCAATAGAAAAATTTCAAAAAATCATATAACATGCATATAATACCCTCCAACAAATTTAGTAGTATCCATCACAATTACCATCGATATAAATTCTTTCTATCACAAAAATACAAAAATATCTTAGACTCGATGCAAGTACACGTTTTCAATATCCTCCATAATTATTATCGAACACAAACTCTCTCTAATATATCACAAAAATACAAAAATATCTTAGACTCGAAGCAAATTCACGTTTCCAATATCTTTCATAAATATATCACAAAAATACAAAGATATCCTTAGACTCAAAAAACTCACAAAATTTCAAAATCAGGTATTATATATAAATACTCTCCAGCAAATTTAGTAGTATCCATCACAATTATTGCTAAATATCCTCCAACAAATTTACTAGTATCCATCACAATTATTACTAAATATCCTCCAACAAATTTAATAATATCCGTCACAATTATTACTAAATATCCTCCAACAAATTTAATTATATCCATCACAATTATTATCGATACAAATTCTTTTTAACGTATCACAAAAATACAAAGATACCTTAGACTCGACGACCTCACAAAATTTCAAAATCACGTATTGTACATAAATACCCTCCAACAAATTTAGTAGTATCCATCACAATTATTACTAAATATCCTCCAAAAAATTTACTAGTATCCATCACAATTATTATTAAATATCCTCCAACAAATTTAGTAGTATCCATCACAATTACCATCGATACAAATTCTTTCTATCTCAAAAAGTACAAAAATATCTTACACTCGATGCAAATTCACGTTTCCAATATCCTTCATAAATATATCACAAAAATACGGAAATATCTTTAAATTCGACGACCTCACAAAATTTCAAAATCACATATTATATGTAAATATCCTCCAACAAATTTAATAATATCCATCACAATTATTACTAAATATCCTCCAACAAATTTAGTAATATCCATCACAATTACTATCGATACAAATTCTTTCTAACGTATCACAAAAATACAAAGATACCTTAGATTCGACGACCTCACAAAATTTCAAAATCACGTATTGTATATAAATACTCTCCAACAAATTTAGTAGTATCCATCACAATTATTATCGATACAAATTCTTTCTAATATACCAGAAAAATAAAAAGATATTTTAGACTCGATGCAAATTCATGTTTCCAATATCTTCCATAAATATACCACAAAGATACGGAGATATCCTTAAACCTCACAAAATTTCAAAATCACGTATTATACATAAATACCCTCCAACAAATTTAGTAGTATCCATCACAATTACCATCGATACGAAATCCTCTCTAATATACCACAAAGATACCTTAGACTTGATGATCTCACACTCTCCTCTATTCGTATAATAGAAAAAAATTCAAAGTCAAGAGAGAAAAAAAAATTTAATTTCACCGTACATCTGAGAATGCGATTCCGTACACGCGATTACTATCGCGTACAAATCCATCGATCGGTTTCACGGAGCGTAGGATAGGACGTGTATTAGGGCACACTTTTACCAGTTGATCGCATCCAACGATCTAGTCATCACGGCCAACATTATCTACGACGAAACGTCCGGCAGCTGCATGGAAACAGAATAGTTAGGCATATCCTAACCGCGGCTGATAGGAGGAGCTCTCCCATTTTCTCCATCTCCCCCCCACCCCCCGGTCTTGTTCTCCGTTATTATTCAGGAACTTTGCTGACAGCTCCCCGGATAGGAAGATAAGAACGTCCTCTGAATGCCGAAGCGCGCACAATGCTCCTTTAGGAACGCCGCGTACCCACGTCTCGCGCCTCTACTTTTCCTAGGAGGCACAATCGCGGCCGAGAATCGTACAGTTCAACCGAATAACTCCAACTCGAAACCCCTCCCCAAATCCTGCATTTTTTTCTTCTCCCCCGCCGTTAATGCGTATTTGGAGAATTATCGCAAATAGCAATATAGTATATAGCATTATATATATTTAGTATAGCATAATATAGTAGAAATCGCGATGCGAATTTTGGAAGTGGAAATTATCAAGCGAAATTTTTTTTTTCTCTTTTTGATTTTAAAATGAAATCGTTTCCAGAAATGATCACCAGTTATGATATTTTTATAAAGTTGAATAAAAAGAAACTATGAGATTGTGCAGATAATAATAATTTAAATAAATTAAATTTATGTGCAATTCGTTTTTTATCCTATAATGAATTGTTCTATTGCATCATCACAACAAAGAAATTTTAATTAGATTCAAAGTTCAGATTTCTTTTTTAAAATAAAATCACAATAAATAATTATCGGTTTACTATGATATTTTAACTGAATATAGGTATTAAAAAAGAAATAATGATAAAATCGTTGTGCAGATCGTACAAAAATTCAAATAAATTAAATTTATGTGTAATTCCTTTTCTTATCACCTGAATCATAACGATAACAAAAAAGAGATCATCGCGAAACGACGAAGAATAGTGTATATTAATTCTCCATTCTCTTCCTTCCGCCTCCCTCTCCCCCCTCCCTGCCGCGGAATCTTACACGGGCAAAGAAAACAAGGCTAGTAAAATGGCTGGGAGCCGGGTCCGTTTAAGACGAAGTCACAGAACGCTTAAAGGGAGAATTCGAGAGTTGGCAAATTAGCCGCAGGATTGGCCTTATAATCCTTGGAGGAGGATCCCAGCTATTCTCTTTGACTCTCCTCTCCCCCCGCTTCCTTCCCTTCACCCCTCAACCTCGTCCTTTTTCCCGATCCGCGGACCAAGCCGTACAAACCTCTCCCCACTCCCCTCCTCTCTCCCTCTCTTTTCTTATTCTTTAATCCCCCCCCCTCCCCCTCCTCCTCTCCTTCGACCTCATCAACCATAAGGCCACGGTAAAAATTATACGGGGCTGGAGGGAGAGGGGGGCGAGAGATAAGGAGGAAGAGAGACGCGATTGAAAGTAATGAGGCCGAAGGAAGGAGGATCAGAGGGGAGGGGAGGGATCGTCGGTTAAATGCTGC